AAGGGGAAAATTATGAGTTAATTGCCCCGACCCTACAGTATAGACTTTTCGGTTCATTTTTAATTACACATGGTTGAACATAATAGTAATACAAAAAATTACAAGTCAAATGACCCCTGTGGTTGAAAAGATCATCTACCTCCTTAGAACTAGTAACCATTGTTAAATCGATATTGATACCCAACTTAAACTTCCTTTTTCTATCACTCCCAGAATCAAACTCACAAATTACTAGGAAAGTAAAGTAATGTTTTTACTAGTTTAATAGTATATGATGTTATAAACCTGACGTCATAAGAAGAAAACGAGTGAGGCATTTGTATAAGGATGGTAGAGTTTAAATGACAGATACTTTCATACATATAAAAACTTCCTTGAGATATCATGAATCAGAAGGTTTATAAATGACTTGGCAGACGAAAACTTTACTTGTCATATGTTTCTTTTATTTTAGCCTCCGTGGTATTATCCACAGCTATACATTGCGTCTCGGAAAAACGAAACCGAGAATTATCGATGTTTTATCATAACTTAATCACGATTATAATTAATAAATGACACATATTTGTAAGGCTTAGATCCTCTTCTTTCATTTGATGTCACTCATATGATACATATTTCACGCATGAGTGATCAAAATCAATTTGAAGAGAGGGAACCAAAAGGTCATTTGACGGTATTTGAGTTTCAAAGAGAAAATTACATTTCTAGAAAGTTCAGTTTTTTCCCTTTCATATGACACTTTTTCAATGCTGGTGTTGTTAAGTGAAATATCTTGTTGATCCTCTGTCATGACTTTGCATTTGTTGCATTGATTTTCATACCCCATCTTCTACAAGCCTTCTCCAGTTCATTTGTTGAAATTTGGAGGTTTTCAAATACGACTTCCATCAGGGTGGTGTCATCTGCATATCTGATGTTGTTGATACGCATGTCACCCATCTGTATTCCACTTTCTAGTTGTTGGATGTCCTTCATCACATATTACAGGAATAGGTTGAAGAGACTTGGAGAGAGGAGGCAGCCTTGTCTTACCCCAGTTATGACATCAAACCATTCAGTTATCTTCCCATTCACCACAGCTGAGCATTTGGTTTGTTTGTACATGCTCTCTATGAGGTCAACTAAGGACTTGTCCACTCCAATGGAACGCAGACATTTCCAGAGAGCTTCTCGCCATATGGTATCAAATGCTGCTTTAAAGTCAACAAAGTTCAGGTGGATTGGTATCCTTCTTTCTCTGGCCTTTTCGATGATCTGTCTGACGACAAATACAGCATCTGTGGTGCCCCTACGGCTTCTGAATCCACATTGTTCCTCTGTCAGATGATTCTCGATGGTTCCTTGTATTCTCATGAGGACCATTCTACAGAAAACTTTCCCGGGTATGGAGAGTAGAGTTATAGCTCTGTAGTTGGATGGATCCAGCTTGTCTCCTTTCTTAAACATTGGAGTGATGAGACCCTTGCTCCAGTCTTCCAGGGTTTCACCTTCCGACCACGCTGCATTTATTGTTTTGAGCAGGAGTTGTCTTATTGGTTATCCACCAGCCTTTACAGTTTCGGCAGCTATTTTGTCCCACCCGCAGGCCTTGTTGTTCTTCAATAGTTTTATTGCCTTCTCTACTTCTTCAATTGTGAAAGGTTCACTTGGGTTATCTGTAGGTTGTGGGTCAGGTATGGTCAGAAGAGCATTTTCGTCCCTTGGAAATTGCGTGTTAAGGTGAACGCTAAAATGTACTTCCAGCATTTCAACACATATGCGGGAGCAGTTTTTAAGATGCCTTCCTTGTTCTTTACAGCAGGTTGCATTTTGTCTCTCTCACCAGATAGTTTCTTCACCTTCTTGAAAAGATCGTGGCTGTTGTTCTTTGCGTGAGCTAATTCCATCTCGTCCACCTCCGTGTCAAGAATTTTCTTCTTCCACTGCTTCACTTCATACTTGACCGCTTTATTGAGTTTTGTGTAGATTTTTCTTGTTGTGGGATTGTTCATCATGAGGATTCTGGCTTTCCTCCTTTGTTCACAGGCCTTACAAACCTCCTCTGGGAGACCTTTAACTTGTCTCGACCTTTTGAAGCATACAATTTCCTCTGAGATATTATTGGTTGTATCTCTGAATTTCTTCCACAGCTCATCCACATCTGTGTCCGGGAGCTGAAGTAGTGGTTCAAAGGCACCTCCAATCCTGGCTTTGAATGCTTCTACAATGTTAGAGTCATTGAATCTGCCCACATCATAGCTTTTTGGGAGGCTCTTCATTCGCTTGGTCTTTGTAGGTGAGAACTTCACATTAGCCACTACTAAATTGTGGTCTAATCCAATGTTAGCTGAGCAGCACGATCTGCAGTTCTGGAACGTCTTTAAATTTTTTAATTGGGTGATAATGAAGTCTATCTGGTTTATGTAATGTCCACCTGGGGATGTCCAAGTTGCCCTTCTACATTCTTTGTGTTGGAAGTAGGTGTTACACACTGCCATTCCGTCAAACATGCAGAACTCCAAAAGTTTCTCCCCTCTTCTGTTGATCTGACCTAATCCATACTTGCCCAAAGTTGGAGCCCATACTCCATGGTCTGTTCCTACTTTCGCATTAAGGTCTCCTATGACAATTATGTTCTCCTTCCTAGGTACCTTCTGGATATGCAACTGGAGTGCATCATAGAAAAGGTCACTTTCTTGTTCACTATGTGCAGATGTAGGGGCGTAAACCTGGATGATATTCATGATCCCTTCTTTCATGTTGAATTTCGCTGTAATGATCCTCGGTAAGACTGCTTCGTAGCTCACCAAGCAATGCAGGGTTTGCTGGGAAATCATGATGCCGACTCCCTCCCGACTTATGTTATCTTTCCTGCTTGATAAAAGGATTGAGTACTCCTCTTTGTTTATAAGCGTCTCTGTGCCAGTCAGGTGTGTCTCACACAGACCTAAAATATATCCAGATCAAATCTCCGGGCTTCTCCAAGGAGTATATCCCAGTGCCCTGCTCTCTTCAGTGTTCTCACATTCCAGGTTCCGATGTTCAGCACACCAGATTTCCTTGTGTTGTAAGAGGACTGTAGAAGGAATATAGTAAGTAACATTTTATACAAAAATTAAGCATTTTTTTTTATCAACCTTCAACAATGTTACCGAGTCACTATAAGTCTTTTGTCAATTCCGTTTGTTGCTATGGCAGGTAGCCAGTGAAAACGAGTTCGTTTAATCAAATTATGGAAATGCAAGAATCACTTTAGACAAACAGAACTGTGTTATTCCTTGCTCATTTTTCCTGATTGAGGTGTCATATAAAAAGGCAGAAACTTAACTTTCTAGAAATGTGATTTTCTTTTTGAAATTGAGATACCGTCCGCCAAATGAATTTTGGTTCCCCCTTTTCGAAACGATATTAATTACCCATGCGTGAAATATGAAAAAGGAGGCTCTAAGCTTTAGAAATATGTGTCATTTATTAAATTAGGATAAAACATCGATAATTCTCGGTTTCGTTTTTGCTGGGACGCACTGTATATGGGATTCGAACATTACAAACAATTGGCCATTGTCACGCCTAATCTATTTTGAAAAGGGGTGCTTTTTGTCTTTTCAGATCTGGTTAAAATCAATGTAGATAATATTGCATGTCAGCCACTTTGGAATAATCCCAGGATTAAAGTGAATGATACAATATATTTTAATTGTTGGTGTATGAAGGGGGTACTCTTTATTAATGACATTTTGAAAGCGGATGGTACGTTTCTCTCGTATTTTGAATGTCAACATAAATTTGATACACAAATAGATTTCCTTCAATATTATGCGTAATGCAATGCTATTCACCCGGTTTAGAAAAGAGCGTTTTTCCCAAATTAATTGAACCTACATGTATTATACCTGAAGCATAACTTTTAATATTGAAAATGAAAAGAGGATCTTCTCATATTTACCAGTCATTCTTAAAACATAATGTGAACGAATGTAACAGCCTCACTAAATGTAAACAAAGTTCTCTGCTATAGATCTAGAAGATAAATCATGGTGTTCATATTGTCTGATTCCCTATCGGTCAACTGTTGATATAAATATGTGGTGGTTCCAGTTTAAGATTTTAAACAGATTAATTTACAGAAAAGATGCATTGCTAAAATTCCAAATAGTTGCTGATAAACATTGTACATTTTGTAACAGCAGTGAAGAGACGATTATGAATATTTGTTGTTACGGCCCATATAAAAATATAATATGGTCAAAACTTGAGCAATGTTTTTTTCATTAGACTAATATAATGGCCAAACTCACAAACTAAAATAAATTGTTTTGTTTGAAAGGAGCTCGTAACAACGCTTTAAATTGTGTCTTAACGATTGTAAGAAAGAAATCTGACACTAAATATAGGATTTCCCGTCCAAATTCGCGAGTTTGTCATTCGAATTCATTTACTTTGCATTTAAGTTAGCGCAGATCAGCTTTGCCATGCCAATTATCATTCAATTTTCCCGATTTTGTATTCAATTTAGGATTTTGGTCGAAGGATTTCATAGATCTGTCATTCAATTTAGAAACTGCTCAACTAGCATTCAAATTAATCGTCACTTGTCGAGGCGTCAATTTTATCATTCAAATTAACACCTGTCATTCGTATTCGAAATATTTGTATTCAAGTTAGGAATGTTAGGGGGGAGAAATGCAACACACGTTTACAGTTTAAAAAATAAAATAAAAAGCATGACCTACCATTGGGGTCTATTCTGTTATTCCATTTATTCATTTTCAGGACAATGCATATGGGTAAAGTCAGACATAAAGTAAAGAAGGGGCGAAATCAAGGGATATGGCATTTCTGCACGGACATGTTTATATACCCAGGAAAGGTGGGGGTACCCTCAATCGCCCCTTTTAAATACAGATTTGGAATGTTACAAAAGTAATTCACATCGTCTCTTACACTAGCTAGCACACCCCTCTGTTTTTCTAAAAGAGTTTCATAGTTTACTTGTCACTTCGCCATTTCACTTCGCCATGGAAGGTCACGTAAGATATAAGCGCATATCTGACGAGGACCGAGAGCGACTGATAGAAGCTTTCGAGGGTCACCAAGCTGACTATCTAGTGCTGGCCGATACACTGGGCATTAAGCGGTCTACTGCCAGATCTATCGTGGCGACTTATCTACGGACCGGCAGGCGACATAAGATGGCAAGGGGAGGTGTCAAAAACCAGAAAATAGACGACGAGATGAGAGCTCGTCTTCAAAACATTGTTGACACCAACCCTCTGGCCACGTTAGAGCAAATGAAGAGAGACATGGAAGCGGCATTGCCGCATAAGCCAGCAGTTTCCATTTCGACCATATCACGAGCTCTAGATGGTATGTTTATTACCCTCAAACTGGCTGAAGATGTGCCAGAGGGGAGAAATTCAGAAGCAACACTTGATCGTCGGGTGGAGTACGCTCAGTGGTTTTTGGCAGAAGGCGTGGTCGCCCACACAGTTTTCATTGACGAAACCGGCTATAACATCTGGACTCGTCGATCCTTCGGCAGGGCACCCCGCGGTCAACCGGTTCGAAGAGTTGTTAATGGACAACGTGGAAAGAGATGTAATGTCACGTTTGCGGTTTCAGGGGAGGTAGGCCTGATGCACCACGTCATTGCATGCGAGACAACCACTAGAGCCACCTTTGAGGACTTCCTCGCCGAAACTGCACGTCAGTGTGCAATAATGTTTCCTCCAGGTGAATCAGTCGTCATGATATACGACAACGCCAGACCGCACGTGAGGGCTCAGCTCCCCCATGACGTTGATCCAATCATCCAGGTTAGGCTCCTGCCTCCCTACTCTCCGTTCCTCAACTTCACCGAGAACGCACACTCTGCATTTAAATCCAGAGTTAAGAGGGATTTGGCACGTCCTGAAATACAGCAGGCGATAGGCGATCGGGAAGCTGCTGAGCAGGCAGGACTGACGATGGAGAGGTGGCGAGTAGACATCGTTTGTCGTGTAGCCAGGAGGAACGTCGACGCCATCACACAGCAGAAATGCATGGGATGGTATCGCAGAATGCAGACCTACATCCCCCAATGCCTTGCCCGCCAGCAGATCGATGGCTAAAGACTTGGTTAAAATGATGAATCATGCTCAAAAATTGTGTGACTCTAGTCTCTACCCCTATATATTGTACACGTCCTCCATAATGAAATTATGATAAATTTATGATGAAACACAAGACAAACAACTTCCTGTCATGAAAATGTATAAACATAATTAGTGAGACCATCAAGTCCGCTGATGCAAGTATATATAGTTTTTTTCCCTTAACAATCAAACTTAAATGCCGATGAATATCAGACAAATCTAATAAGTCTAAGTGTATAAATGCCATAAAATAAAATATGATGAAATACACATGAAAAAAACAATCTTGAAAGAAAAAAAAAGAGCTATAAAAGATGTGTAAGAAACAAGAAATATATATTGACCATCAATTTAAGTGCACAAAGTGCTAAATTGAATGCAACAAATGAATTAGAATGCTAGAAGTACACCGTCGCGATGTCAGAAAATCGTGTTGCGCTAAATCGAATGACCAAATGGCGAAAGAAGCACTTTGTTCATTAATTTGAATGAAACATACATAGATTCTAACGAAAACTTCATAGATTTGAAATATAGAAAAAGGAATATAAAACCGAGATATACCCGCCAGCACTAAAACCGTCGAATTTGAACGCAAGACAAATGAATTCGAATGACAAACTCGCGAATTTGGCCGGGAAATCCTATAGTACATGTTTTTATTTTTTGTGTGTCCCAAAATTTGAAAACAAATTGGTCGACGATATTTCATTTCGTTCGAGGGGGGGGGGGGGGGGGGGGGGGGGGGGGGGGGGGGTGGTAAGGTCAACTTTTTGGGTCACCTATTATTACCATTTAAAAAAATTTTTTTAAACAAAATAACAAAGGGGGGGGGGGTTCCTCAAAAACACACACATAACAGAAATTAAAGGGGGATGGTTCAAACCCCAAATTCCCCCCCCCCCCCCCTGCGTACGCGCCTGCGTCAGGTATACGCTAGGGACACGCAAGAAGAACGTTGGGCTGGCTAAAGACACGTTCAGTACGCGTGATCAGCACGCTCATATTCGATGCATGTTGGAGGTTGGACATGCGTTTGAAACGCGCTAGGTACGCGCTAGGTGTGCACTGGGCGTTTGCTAGACAGCGGCCGCCGAACTCGCAATAAATACACATCGTGTGCTTCGCGTATGTCTGGCGTTGGTCTAGTGCGCTTCGCGCATATCTGGTGTCCTTTTGGCTTTTACATGCTTATCAAATGCTCATAAAATCCCGACGCAAACAGCTACTGACGTCGAATGCATAGCGTTGGTCCAGCCCGCTCGACACACGAGTAACGAATGATGACGCACTGACCAAAATTTCAAATTTTCAATGCGAAGGCCGTGTGTCCCCATGTGTGTCCTTTATGGCCCGGTCACACATAGAAGACGCATGGCCGGCGCATTGAAAATCGGAAAAAAGTCGTGAGCCCGACCTTTTTCAGGATTTTGGAGGGGTAAATATTGGTATATAAATGTGTGAAAATTAAAGTTGTATTAAGAACAACACACCCTCATATAAGAATATTTAAAAAAACTGAGGAATATACAGCACTTATTTATAGACATTATGTAACAATATTATTTTGATATCATCAGAGTTAAATGCTCATTGTTGACACATTTTCAGTTCCAACTTTAGTTTCAACCAGCCAAGGCATTATTTCAAATCAAAATGTTAAATGAAATGATAACTGGTCGTGAATATATTCATATCTTTATGATTGTCAAATTGTCATGTTTTAGTAAGTTACAAAGTTTCAAGCCAAACACTTATCATTTAGTGCTAATCAAGATTCATGTTTCAATTCACCCTAGATGCAGTTCTTGAAGAAGTGGAGGAATCCGATGAAGGTGATTGGGCAAATATTTGTTCTAAATATAGTAATTCAGTTAGATAAATTAATATCTTGCACTGATACACTGTCGCTCATAAAGGTGGAATTTTTTTTTTATCCCAATTTATGGAATTATTTTAACAATAATTTTAAAAAAATAGATCTAGATAATAGTATACATTCTCAGATTTTATTGAATAATAATTTGCCAATGTGTGTTTTGCGTGACTGCTAAAGCATGTGTATGGTACTATGCTTATCAACTAGGGGACCTATATGCCTTTAAGTCATAAATGATAGAAATGAGGATTAATGCCCCACAAAAGGGCACTAATATATAGCACATCGACACGGTTGATCCTGGGGCCTCACAGTTACGAGGCCATTGCTTTGTCACTGAACCATGACTGTACGCAGCGGGGGCTAGGGTAGGGGGCAGTTTCCATAAATTAAAAAACAAAACAGAAAATGCAATACATTTTCAATAATTTATTGCATTTTACCCCGGTCCCAACATAAAAAAATCTTCTGTGTGCCCATGCCTTGATCCATAATGCATGGCCGTCCCGAGGATTTTTTTTTATGTTGGGGGCCGGGGTAACATGCAATAAATTATTGAAAATTTATTGCATTTTCTGTTGTTTTTTATTAATGGAAACTGTCCCCTACCCTAGCCCCCGCTGCGTACTGTCATGGTTCAGTGATAAAAAAAATGGCCTCGTAACTGTGAGGCCCCAGGATCAAAACCGTGTCAATATGCTATATTAGTGCCCTTATGTGGGGCATTAATCCTCATTACTGTCATTTATGACTTGAGGGCGTAGGTCCCCTAGTTAATAAGCATAGTAGCATACACAAAAGCTTTACCAGTCCGGAAAAACACACATTGGAAAATTATTATTCAATAAAATCTGAGAATGTATACTATGATCTAGATCTATTATTTTTAAATATTTTTTTTAATAATTCCATAAATCGGGGTAAAACTAAAATATTCCACCTTTATGAGCGACAGTGCATGTAAACAAAACGAATTCTGAACGAAGCGATGTATCTAGAAGAACTATATAATTTGACAGTATTAAATATTAATCGATATGTTTCGCTTGATTTGATCATGAGATTCCAGAATAATTTTCATTGATTTACACAGTTTTGAATAACCAGCGAAAACAACTATCTATCAAAAGAAGCGACAATTTTAGATTGTTTTAAGATAAGTATTTATCATTAAGTGTGTTAATCGAGATTTAATTTTGTTTTGCGCCGATTTTACAAAATATATGCACAAATCTTCAGCACTATGAGCACTTATCTATGATTAGTTTCCCACGATGAGTCACTTTAAATTGATTTATCGCCATTTCAAAAAAATTGTAGATATACATAGGACATTCGATATCAGGATTTAGCTTTATTATACAAATATACCAAGCTGTGAGAAAGAATAGTGAAAATTATTTATCTGAGGAGGGACTGGCAAAGATAGTACGATTGCAGTCCCTCCTACCTGAAAATCTCATAGAGCATGCGCAGTTCTGCCCATGAAAAAATAGTATACAGATATACACTGCCTTGAGAGGTTCTGATTAAAACTATGCGCAAGAGGTGACTACAAAAGTACTTTTTGAGTCACTGAGGCTCATAGTTTTAACCAGTACCTCGAATAGAGGCATGGTATATTTGTTTTATATCCTGCATTAAAAATTTATTAAAAAAAAAAAAAAAAAAAAAAAACAGTTTGGGAAGAACAAAAATTTAGAACAAAAACAAATTAAATTCTTATCTAAAAAAATTAAAATGTTTTATCTTCAATAAATTGGGATTTAAAAAAAAATCAATACACCAGTTTACTGTTACATCAGTGCGGATGAACAGACATGGGCGCCATTTTAATTGACGAGTAAACAAAGCCAATGACCTAGAGGTCAGTGGTATTTATGCGTAAATTAAGATTGCGCCCATGCAAATGATGATGTGCGCGCACAACGCAGCGCGCAGGCAGTGATTGCATCATAATTTGCATGGGCGCAATCTTAGTTTACGCATAAATACATGACCTCTAGGTCATTGGCTTTGTTTACTCGCCAATTAAAATGGCGCCCCTAACCGTAAACTGGTGTATTAAAAAAAAAAAAAAAAAAAAATCACTTTTTTTTCACCTCTCAAATAGTAAACCCAAGTATTACTATCATATAGTACTTTCTAAAAATAGTTCAAATAGTTCTGGTCATGTGACGGGCTCTTAACCAATCAAAAGCCAACAAATTTTTGATGCAGGATACAATGGAAAATATCCGGAGCTCTGGCAGACATTTGTTTGAAATAGTGAAAGTATATTTTATCACGTGACCACAAATTGACTAATCATGTATTTAGAAAACTCATGAATATTCATAGAAGGGATATAAATACGTATATATATCATTTTCTTTTGAATTCAAATTATGTAGAAAAAATGGTATAATTTGCTGTTAATAAAAAGTTTATTATGAAAATGTAAATCGATTTATGTTGCTTGATTTGATCACAAGATTCCAGAATAATTGTTCATTGATTAAAACAGTATTAAAAAACCCTTTTATTAACTTTCTATCAAATAAAGCTAGGGCTATGTAACAATATATTGCTACTTAATGTAAATTTCAGGGGTCCCTACATTTTTGATGGGGTGAGGAATATACATTTTAATTGATAGGAGAGGGGATGGAAGGGGGTAGGTGCGGTCTTGAATATCAAAAACCCAAGGTATTATTTCCTACCACAAGGGTAAAAGAAATAATAACTGGTCGTTAATATTTTCATATCTTTATGATATTAGAAATGCCGAAAACTAAAAATGTTACTAAGGCACCCCAAAAGAAGGCGCCAAAGACAGCGAACAAGCCGAAATTAACACAAAAGGAACCTCACCCAGCAGCTCCAAAACGACAGATCATCCCTATTCCTGGTCCAGCTCCAAAACGACAAAAAGTGACGGCATCAAGACCATCTACATCGAAGGGGATCACCTCAAAACTGAAAAAAAGTGCTACTACTCAGCGTAAGTAAAAAGCAAAAACTTTCTATCAAATGAAGCTAGGGCAATAGAGTGTTGCTAAATTGATATTTCTGTGTCCTTAATTTTTGGAGTGGGATGTGGAACGTACGTTTGTAT